TAGTTTTACATGTTTTTTTTAGCAACGATGCCTGTGTCCTCTGGTTTTGTCAAGCACCCTCTTTCCATAGAGATGGCTGTGAAGATAAGGGTAATGGCTCCGAACGAGTTGCACAAGAGCATTATGAGCAGCTCCCTGCTTTGACACAAGGAACAAAAAGTTAGGTTATGACATATGCAATAGAGCTAAGGGCAGATGGGTTTAGATCTTGGAAATTTGAACAAATTTTAGAATCTCCAGGATTCAGTTTGGTCACAGAATAAAGTTCGAAATTTGTACCAAAGTAGTATGTTATGTGTGTCCAACTATCAACAAAGGAGGTTCAAGAAACCAAATAATTTTTTTACATTACATATGTCATAAGACTACCAATCTGACATCACATGTTCAAATTACGACTCTCAGTCATTGATGCATGTGGGTCTACATTGCATTATTAGTTATGAGTCACTCACATGCCCACATGTGGCAACAACTGAAAGTCACCGATCAACATGCATGTGTGGGCAATTATTCCTAGCATTGATTGAATCGATAGTCAAACAATAATATATGTATCAATCTGTCTGACAAAAGAACATTTCTCGACATATCATATTGCTACTATAGTTGATTCTCTTAGTTATATGATTATGTGGGAACTTATTTCTTAATAGGTTTGATGAGTATTGCCCTAATCAATCTTAACAAGAAGTGAACAGTTTCAATGCAGCACAAGCATTTTGCGGGATGATCTTACCTTGGATACTCCCAGAGCAGACTGAGCAACATAATTCCCATAAGGATCTTGAAGAAGAGTCAGTAAATTGGGACTATTAATCATCTCGTTAATAATCCTATTGATATGTTCTTCTCCAGCCTCTTTCAAGCTTTTCTCAATCACGTTGCTGCCATACTTATTCATGGAGAGATTAACAAAACTCCCTCCCAGCTGTGCTAGTATATCTGCTGTTACACGAGGTATCTTCAATCCAATTATGTACTGGACAACATAGTTCCTGGTGGTTAATCAAAACAAAAAAAGATAATATTAGAGACACGTTTCATCATCATATCACCCGTTAAAACAAGAATCCAAGTCAAATGAAATAGTATGCTTCCCATCTCTTCTCAAGAAATAAGCGATATATGAAAAATTGCTCTCAACTTCATATGATGAATTGATAGTCTAACAATAGAATACATCATACTGTTTGGAAAATCCTTAATATAAGCAAGGATTTCCTCTAAAAGTCGGTTACTATGTTAGAGGTTTCCCGTATGATTGTCCATTTAGATTATTCCAAATGCAATACATATACAAAAAGAAATTAAGAGAAAAAAAAATGTGATTTTACAATCCCTTTTCCACAAGATGTGGGGAAAGTGAAGAAATAAGTTAGGATTAGGTTAAGTGAATGGTTCGATTCACTCTAATGACAAAAAAAGAAGGTGATTTTACAATCATACAATTTATATATCGTCTTGAACATTTCTCCAATAAAACATTTACCAGAAGATGATCGCATCTTATCTTAAAGACTCCAATTGAAGAGAGAATCTAACGTGTCACCGGCGTATATTCCTTTATATCTACAACAATCATCACCTCATCGCATAATAGGTGTTGTAGATACAAACAAAGAAACCTATTTTCGATTGTAGGTAAGATTCTTTCCCAATTGAGGGGTGTGTGTCTGTGGTACAAGTAATTTTATCTATCTGGAAAACAGGTACGGTAGAGGTAAATGACAAACCCGTAGGGATCTTCAGAGAGGACTCGAGCATGTTCAGTTATGTCAGCCACAAGACGCTCCTTTGCCTCTGTATAAGCATAATGAACGCTGCTTTGCACTAAGCAGCACCCAAATTTGTCCTTTGCTAGGGCAAGGCAGTTCTCTAACACCAATTCCAGGATGCCCTGTGGGAGGTAGATTTGGTTTAGAAGATAAAATTAAGATCACCAAAAATTAACAAAATTCATTTTTCCAAAGCCAATGTGTGTGTACTAAACCCATGCACGCCTTCATCTTCCACAGATAAACCATTGAGAAGTAAAGCAATCACACACAGTACGCTACATGACAAAAATAGTGAAAAGATGACTACCTTCGTGGATTCAGGAGAGAAATGTTTCAAGCAAACTTGAATCACATAGTAACCAGGCTGAGTCTTGCTGAGGGGAATTGTGATGCGCTTCAGAAGTCGCATGAACGAGGACTGCTGCTCCCGGGTCTCAACTCTCTCTAGCAATTTCTGCATTGCTCGACTTCTGCAACATCAAACACTTCTAAACAATCAAAAATTTGTCGAATTTTCGATTCCGAAAAAGTAAATATATTGTAGGAGTTTATATCTTAAGTGGTAAAGTCCTTTACAAGGGCACAAAATTTAAGATTTTGACTTTTGTCCTCACCCTCTTTTGAATAAAATAAATAAAACAAAAAAGTAGAAAATCATATCATCTGTACCCGTGCTGATCAGTGCAAATGTCCTTGAGTTTTCTCTCATCACTCATCACACAGTCAAGCATTTTGGACTGTCCTTCTTTGTTGGTTGCTTCAACAAGTTTCTGGATGAACTCGTTGCCGAATTGATCAACCATCAAGTCACGCAAATCTGCGTCCATAACCTCCTTAAAAATCATCTCAACTTCCTCTGGTTTGCCCTCCTCGACCTTCTTCTGCAAAAAACGACACCCCACATGATCCTTGGCCACCAAAGCAATTTTGCCCATTAATTCTTCCAAGGATAGATTGAAAGCAGTTGGATGCTGCTGCCGTACGGAACCATTAGAAAACCTTGATCCATCTTTAGCCACTGAATTACTGGTCATCACTTGGCCCCTTTGTTCCAATGAGGATGATGAGTAACTAGTACTCAAACGCTGTCGCCCAGATCCATTAGCATACCTTGATCCCCTGCTACTAATTACACCATTACGAACAGGATTATTAGGCCTCATTGGATTATATCCATAACCAAATTGATCAGAAGTAATACTCCCGACCCGACTCGCTCCTGTATAGGTAGATCCCACATCTGTTAGAGGAAAATTTGCCCTATGGGGGAGAGCATGATTACTAGTAGTAACATGATTGGCAACTGGTGATCCATGAAGCCTCATGTACTGATCCATTTCGGCCATTAACAAAACATACTGATTTTTCAACCTCTCCAAATATTCCTCCTCCTCTCGGATATAATGAGCAGATTGGTATTGAGCAGTAAATCCATTACCTCCTAAGGAGGAGTTTACTCTTGGATTTGATGCGGCACCACCGGACTGATGATGATTCGATATGCTTAGCCGATTCAAGGCTGCTGTCAGCTGATGGTGTTGGGCTTGATCGGCAAAATCAGTACTGTTGATGTTGAGATTATTGGTACATGGTGAGTTTTGGAGACTATTGGCAGGAGAAAAAAGATGATCATTCGGATTGGTATTCTGTGAGGGAGTAAGGTTTTGGTAGGGATTGTTTGGCAACATGGCGTTTTGAAAAACAATAGGGTTACCCGAGGAAGGATCCCAATAGATATGATGGTTTTCGGAAGCCGATTCGCGGCGGAGGTGGTTTTCGGGTAAGGTATAGGAAGAAGGAACAATAGGGTTGCTGTTGTTTGATGCTGCTGTAGTATTAAACCACTGATATTGAAGCCCAACCTCTTCCCCTCCCTGCCTCTCCATTTATGTTATTGTTATAATTGAAACCGATCAAAACTAGAAAACAGAAGAAATACAGAGAGAGAACGGGATGAAGGGTTTTGCAAAAGGGATTAGCTGGGTTTAGAAATCTCTTTGAATTAAGTAACACCAACTCTAACCTGTATAGTTTGCACAATGGGGAACATATATATATATATATATATATAACTAGGGTTTTTGTGCTAAAAGTTTTGGGTTTTTTTTTTTACCCATATAGAGAAATCCGAATTAATATAAGACATCCACAAAAAGATTTGTAGTTTGAAAAAAAGAAAAGATTTAAGGATAATAAAAGGGAAGTGTTTGAGTAATATGAGGAATGTTTCTTTGGGTTAACAGCTTTTAGGGTTTTTCGAAAGAGAAAAGAAAAAACCGTCTAAATCTCATCAATCTATTCTTGCATGAAATATGACCCTCTCACAGCCAATAGAATCGAAGAAAGAATAAAAAAAACACTTCGTTCATTTTGGCTCACGCTCCTCTCAAGAGCGTCCTATCCAGGTCGAATTTTAAAAACCCTTTTCTTTTAGTACATAAATATATATACGCAAGTTTAAACTAAAACAAATTTGCATGCGATAAATAATGAATCCGAGAAATTTGCTCAACTAACCAGCAAGAAAAAAATAAAAGGAAAATATTTTGTCTCCCATGCGTAGTACATAAAACGATGTAAGAAGTTAGGATAATCAAGGATTTAATCTCGATTTAATCTTCATTTTCCCATTTATTTTTATTTTTTGGAGATGATCATCTTGTTGAGGGCTTTTAGCCCCTTTGTTACCCAAAAATAAAAATAAAAATTGAGCATCTTTTCTTTTACAATAACAGTTTGAACTCTGTATTTGGCATAATACACTTATGTTCCTATTAAAAACTGGAGTTATGACGTGTTTTCATGTTAGGTATGACATTTCATCAGGAGCGGTGCATATAGATTACTAACGCATTTTTTTATAATAGGAAACTGATGTGTATATTTTTCTAAAAGGAACTCATGACGTGTATTAGTATTGTTGTGACAACTTAATCTTCATGTTGTTTAAGTTGTTTTTTAAAAAAATTGAGTAATGCAATACATCCAAACTTAACTAACGAAGTTTTAGATGTCAGTTGACATAAAAATGTTATGTTATAATTAATTGCACTTACTTTTTTATATGAATTTGTCTATTGATATTGTATCAGTCCTTAAGTCAAATACATATGATCTATAAAGGTAGTTTGTTTCTAATACATATATCTGGCTCCTTTACTTGTCTTAATATAAATCAACAAGGAGAGAACCCCTCCTATATGAGATACGGAGAATACTTGTATTTATTGAGTTACTAAATACACATATTATACACGAACGTATATATTCTTAAACGCTTATGTTCAAATATAAAATACATGGGTATTTTAAGATAATGTATTATACTTGTATATATAAAAATTTCAAAATTTTGTTTTTATTTTCAATAAAATAACTTGTTGTCTTGCTTTTTATATCTATTTTTTTTCATTATTGTCAACACAAGCATTTAATTAATCATGTCCCAATCCTGCTCCTAATTAATAATTTTTCTTAACAGAAAGCTAATTCTCGATATAAAAAATAAAAATAGAAATCTAATTTGTATACCATTCTGATAGGGGTTTTGTTTTTTTTTTTTCGGGGTTTTGTTAAGAAGTGAATCAGGTGTCACAGATAAAACGTAAGGCCGTGAAGTGTTTGAGTCAAGCTTAAATACATTTTTATGGTTCAATCAATAATTTTGCTTTGCTCAGCTGACCTCAGGAGAGAGAAATTGAAAAAAAAAAAAATGACAAAATTCTTTAGGGTCGAACGGAAAAGGAAAGATCTGTTTCGAAACTAGCAAATATATGATTGATTTCTCATTTATTAATACAAAACAAATTGTATCATTTTGTATGGTATCTTCCTCGCTTCACAATTAAAGAACATGCAGGTCTTCTTTTTTTCTTTTTCTTTTTCTTTTTTCTTTTTTAATTTTAAAAATACGAAGAACATATGCAAGTAATTTGTCCATATACCTATAAGAAATTCATCACCAAAAAAAAAAAAATTTACTTGGAAGTTTCATCTCCAACTCCAACGTTGTCAATATATTTGTGCTAATTAAGCAGGCGGTTCGTTGAAATTGGTGTCGTCCGCAACCTTCTAGCATTGTTATTTTCTTTTTCTTTTTCTTTTTCTATCTTTTTTTCTTACTTTTATCTTTCAATTAATATTTAGGGTACAAAATAATGATTATGTTACTGAAAAAAAATGGTAATTTTTTTTAAACAAAGTGATATTCTATATTATTCTAATGTACAAGGAGGTGAATTGAACTTTGGTGTACAGAAACGGACAAACTATTTTAACTCATTGGTCTAATTCATGTCTGCAAATTTTCATACTTGGTACATGCTCATTTTGTACGTTAAAAAAAAAACCGAGAGTTAATTACAAGGCCATTTTGATGCACATAATTAAGTTTGGGGAGATTATGGGTCCATTTGAAAGTTAGAGTTAGAGACCAAACTGACACATAGGAGATAGGGGAATTAACTTTAATTTTAGGATATGACACATAGGAGATAGGAAAATTGAATCACATGATCTGTTTTAACGAGTGTTAACTATTTTGATTTTCAGACTTTTTTATTTAATACAAATATTGGGGGAGGGGAAGTCGGATCTCAAGTGGAGGGGTAAATACTCTTAACTAAATAGTTTGACCATTTATTTTTTATTTTTGGTTATATTGAAGGAAAGAAACTCCATTGATTTCGATCCTGGGTGCCATGGGGGGAGGGGGAATCCACCACCACTGTGGTGGAACCCATTGGTAGTTCGACCATTTATTCGATACAAGGTATTTGGGTCTTTTTAAATCCCCAAGAGGTTACAACAGTTCTTTTTTTGTCAAAATAGTTGAGTTTTGCAAACTCAGGTGGAAATAGTTCTTGGCTCATGTAAAATGGTAAATATTTGTCGGATTAACCCAAAGGAAAAAACATACGTCAAAAAACCAAAGCGAAGGCAATGCCATGGAAAAAACAGAAGTTGACAAAATCAGCGTTCCCCTCGACTGCTTGGGTGCTTGTGAACTCCCTATACACTTGCTATCTTCATTTCCTTCACCAATCCAACTAGCGTATTATATATGCTCTCAATTTGAGGGTGTGACGGGCACCCCACGAGAAATTCATGCACCACGCCGTCGATGCTGATCCAGCTGAAGCCAGGCTGCTTCGTGACCCCCTTCTCCCTCATAAACCACCTCAGCACGGAGACATCACCCCATCGACGATCAGATGCAAATGCATTAGCCAGCATTATGTAGCCTCCTGAATTGTCAGGGTCCGATCGAACCAGTTTGTTGGAAACATATTGAGCCAAGTCTACTCTTGAGTGGAGCAGGCAGCCCCCAAGCAGAGCACCCCACACAAAACTATTAGGCTCAAAGGGCATGGATGTTACAACCTCCAGAGCTTCTTCAACTAGGCCTACTCTTGCAAGGAGGTCAATGTAGCAAGCATAATGTTCTAATTTCGGAGAAACAGAAAAGCTTGAGGTCATGTCGTTAAATATTTGACGGCCTTCCTCGGATAAACCAGAGTGGCTGCATGCACATAAAGCACCAAGGAACGTACCCGCATTGGGTTGTAAACCAAACTTTTGGATTCTAGAGAATAGCCTTAAGGCCTCCTCTCCTTCACTGTTAACTGCAAGACCCATGATCATGGCATTGAATGAAACAATATCTTTGGAGACCATCTGATCGAAAACCTCTTTTGCTCTCTCCAAACTCCCACATTTCGAATACATGTCGATCAATGCAGTGGCTAGAATTCTGTTTGATCCTATCACACCTTTGCTTCCTTTAGATTTCAAGTACTCATGAACCCACCTGCCGAGGTCTAAATCACCAATTTGAGCACAAGCTGAAAGCACGCTGACCATTGTAACATGGTTAGGCCTATACTTGGGATCTTCCACCATTACGCGGAAAAGACTGAGAGACTCCATAGGAAAACCGTTCTGAACAAATGCACCTATCATTGCATTCCAAGGAAGCACACTTTGCTTTCCATTATCAGAAATTTGATCAAATTGATCCCGACTCTTCTCAACCTTTCCCCACTTGCCATACAAATAAACAAGTGCAGTGTTGACAGAGTCACAACCAAACTTCTTAGCGTCAACATTACTGACGACTTCGGATAGAATTGTAACCCATTTCTCAACATCAACTATGTCAAGATTTGAACACGCAGACAAAACACTAACCATTGTATCATCTTCTGGCCGCAAATTCTCATCAACCATCATTAAGAAAAGCCGCAAAACTTGCTCACTCTGACCTGACCGAGCATAACCAGCAATTAACGATGTCCAACAGCAAACGATACTCTTCTCAGGCATTTCATCAAACACCAAATGTGCAGAACCCAAATCCTTAAGTCCCTTCGCATACACTGCAAGTAGGCTGGCACAGACAAATGAGTTGCAAAGAAACCCCACTTTCGTAACATGGGTATGAATTTGTTTGACATAACGAGAATTTTCTGAGCGAAAGCAGGCCTTGAGAAGGAAAGAGAAGGTGAAGTCATTAGGGGAAAGCGACGTCTGCTTTAAGATTTTGAAGAGGGAAAACGCATCGGAGAAGAGACCCTCCTCCGCAAAGACCCTGATAATGGCATTGAAAGGAAAAATGTTGGGTTTTTGGAGCTGATGAAAGACTCGGAGAGCGAGATGAGATGGGTAATGGCCAATGAGTCGAGTGGCGATCAGGTTGTCCTGCTGAGCACCAACTTGAAAGACTTGAGCATGGATTTGAAGGAGACGAGGGTATGAAATACGACCCTGTAGGGAAGCAGCTAAGTCGGTGGAAATATTGAGCTGTGGATTGGCTGGGAGTGTATGAAGGTGAAGAGCAGACTGAGATGAGCAGCAGAAGCAACTTGGAAGCTTTTGACGAAATGAAAATTGTTTTCCTAACATGTTAGCTTTACATCCCACATCGGCTAGACAAGAGGTTTTAGGATTGTTTATAACCCAGCATGGAGACTCCAAATCACGACACCACTGGGCGAAGCGAATGGGCTACGGTTCTGTAAAAGGAACCAGGCTCAGGAAAGTCCCCGGGCCACTAACTGCAGAGATGCAGGCCTGGAAACAGGTAACCTCCGATAACTTGGAGCCTTAATCGCCTAGCGAGATGGGCTGAGACACGTGTGGAGCCTTGGGCTTCAAGCCCGGAGCATCCTTGGCCGATGGTACAGTTATTCGCTTGGTCCTTTGGACTAACTGAACGGGGCTTACGATCCAGTGGTGTCTTATTTTTAGGTTTTTAATTTCACTTCTTTTTCTTATATCATTTTAAAATGTGAGAATATATTTTCTTAATTGCTTATGAAGAAAAATGATCAATTCATGAGTCGGTAAATAGATTGATTTGGATCAGTTATACTATTGTTATACTATAAGTTTGAAGCGCAAAAACGAAATCAATTTGAATCGTATGCGGGATTGAGGTCGAATTCGAATCAAATCGGAACTCGCCTATGTATGCCATGCTAGACATTATAGCCATTAAGTTCTAACAATTTTCAGGATCATTTTGTTTATGTGTGTGTTTTTAAATGGCAGATTCCACATGACCAAATATATAATACATGCCAAATGGCAGACTTTTGTTGGTTTTATAATTCTGAGCCACCAAGGTTTAACAAAAAGCAAAGCACAATTTGCCATGATCATAATCCTCTGCAGTGCAATTTTCATGGTCATCTTGTTTGTGCTAGGTGAATTACTTTATCTGTGACTACACATGTTATAGCAATGCCTACAATGCCAAAGTGGGAGCAGTGAGCACCGCAGAGATGAACAAATTAGAGTTGAATCTAGATTTTAAACTGCATGTAACCACAAAGATTAAGCTAAGATGTTGGAGAGAACCAAATTGATCATATTTCACTATTACAGACATAAGTCACATATGGGCCATAAATTCCTTCTTCTTTGCCTATTCGTTGGGAAAGCTGGGAAAGATGAAGTTAGCATATCCTTTACAATATTGATTTTGATTGGATTCTAAGTCCATAATAGTTTTTTACAATAATTCCAGTTGTCCAATCCTTACGCTTTTTATTTATAGCCGGTTGTGAAGCTGTTAAGTTTGGTTCGGTGGTGACCTAGTAAGAAAGCAACTATATTTATGTATCTAATAATTCATTAGATATGCATGCTTGTAAGAAACCATTGTTACATGGTGAGTTTTGGAGACTATTGGCAGGGGAAAAAAGATGGTCATTGGATTGGTATTTTGTGAGGGAGCAAGGTTTAGGTAGGGGTTGTTTGGCAACATGCCGTTTTGAAAAACAATAGCTTCTCCAAAGTAGGATCCCAAAAGATTTGCTTCTCCTGCCTCTCCATTTATGTTATTTTTATAATTAAAACGTTCTGTTGGTAATGTCAAAAAATTGAACATCTTGTTGTGGGCTTTTAGCCCCCTTGTTACAAAAAAATATATATATAATTGAGCATCCTTTATTTTACAATAAAGATTTGAACTCTTTATTGGCATAATACACTTATCTTCCTATTAAAAAAATGGAGTGTTATGATTACGACATGTTTTCATGTTAAGTATGACATTTCAGTAGCGGCATATATAGATACTAATGTGTTTTTTTAATAAGAAACTAACGTGTATATTTTTTTTAAAGGAATTCACGACGTGTATTAGTATTGTTGTGACAACTCAATCTTCATGTTGTTTAAGTTGTTTATCTTTAAAAAATTGAGTAATTCAATGCATACAAACTTAACTAACGAAGTTTTAGATGTCAATTCTCATTTGACATAAAAATGTTGTGTTTATTCATAATTAATTTCACTTACTCTTTTATATGAATTTGTCTATTGATATTGTATCTGTCCTTAAGTCAAATGCATATATGATCTATCAAGGTAGTTTGTTTCTAATACATGTATCTGGCTTCTTTACTTGTCTCAATATAAATCAAGAAGGAGAGAACCCCTCCTA